TAAGACAGCAGTCAATTTGTGGCACGATGCTTCGATTGAAATCTAGTTCACAAATGCCTTCGCAAGGCATATTATTTAAGTATACAAGTTTATACATGTGTGTATTTTTTTGGTAACAGTTTAACGTTACTTCAACAGCCAACAGAGGTACCACCATTCCCCGCAATGTAAAACAAATATTTAATCTTGCATTGAATCATGAATCTAAACGTTAATTCATTAATTATTTTTTCCCCAACTCTCGTGTTAACGATGAAGGTGGTGGATTTAGAATTGTCATTCCACATTTACATTTCTATAATTTACATGTGTTACGCTACCAAGCTAAAGCCTCGCAAAAATAACGACCTTTGTTAAAGCATTTAGAAAATAAAATAAAACGTGGCACAAGAAGCAGACAAATTGGATGCTGCGGGAGACAACTGTGAATCAATAGGTGCAGACAAGAGATGATGGAACACGCTTGAGGGGACGACCAAAGGGATGAGATGGAACGATGAAATCAGTGAACAGGTCCTGGCAAAAATGCACATTACAAGCTGCAGAGACCCCAGGGGCAATTTCAGCGACGTTGGAACACCTCGGCCACCAGTGGAAGGCGGCTAGTGGTGACACGCATTGTGCATATTGCAGCCACTGCAGTGCATATGAAAAGCAGGTGGGGGAAATGGGATTTCCTGAAGGTCAATGAGCGTGATGATGTAGAGATGAAATTAGGATGTGTGTGGGCGTCAAGGGCAGTGGAGGTACAAAGGTGATGCATGGCATTAATGCGGTAAAAGCTTTCATCACAGTAGTGCATCGAGCACAGACAGCAAGAATGCCCATCTGTTCCACTCGCTTTTAATATTTTTTAAACTCCTTCTTCGTGTAATCTCAATGTGGCTGTTCTGAGTTTGTACATAATTTTGTATTAATTCTAAATGTGTTCTATTTCGGTCGCAGTTTGTGAGAGCTTGGATGACTGCGTCAACTTTTGCTGAAAACATTAAAATTTTCACAGTCTACAAAGACTTGAGACTGTTAATTGGAATTTGTCTCTTTTTAAAGCCCTGCACGTTTGCTGCCGCGGTCACTTGGCCTGATTTCGTCATTTTGTTCACAATAATCACTGGAACCATACATGCATATGTAACATATTGTCAAGTGCAATGGCATGATGAGTATAATATATCAGTCTATGGGCTGCCTAAACATTAAACGAGTAACCCCAAAAAACAAATACTTATAAGAGACATTTAATGTCAAACAGGAGCTTGAAGCTTTGCTCATGAAAAAAGTAAACACTTTAAACTAACCGTTTCGTGCGTCCTGATTGCTACCAGTGACATCGTGAATGTTCAATGTGGCGACGTCACTCAGAGAGCTATGATTGGAACGTCTTTGGATAAATATAAAAGCTTCCAACTATGTTTTGTTCTAAAATGCTTGTCAAGTTCCAACCCCAATGTTATCCCGATTGCACGATGGGCATCATGTCATTAGACAAAGAATCCATCCGGTAATCGCACGCAGAGCAGTGCAACCCCTTGTGTTACAGAACAGGCCGCGGAAGAAGATATCACAGAGGCCTTCAAGTGCCACGTGGTTCACACACAGTAGGGGGCAGCACCTTGATCTTGCATACCGAAAGTGATTTTAGTCACATGACAGTGAAATGGATATCTTAATTCTCAGACCTGGAATGTTTGTGCAATTAAGTGCAGCAACAAATATTCTGATATTGCGACCGTTTTTTTTTATTTCCCAGTAAAATATCTTAATCGGAATGTGCTTATACTGGAGGAATCCGATGAACTATAAAGCTCTGTTTCCCAGATGTCCAGTCGGGGCGGGTCAGAACGTTACAACAACAAATACAAAAACACGATGGGAGTACAAAGTACAGTATAGGAAATGTAAACAAATCACTTCCAACATTTTACAAGTAAAACTAAGCTATGTTTATCTTTGATTTAAAGCTTTCGTGACTGCAGGGATTCATATTCTTGGTTCTTTATGTAAAAAATGTATTGCTGTGGTTTTCGCACCTGATGATGATTGCTTGTGTTGCAATCGAAACGTGAGAATTGTATTGTATATATATTTAATTATTGTACTGTTTCTCTTCTACGTGACTTTACCGAAAGAACCAAGAATATATGTTTATCTTACCAGGTAAAGCACATTGAGCTATTAATTTATTTTTCAGAAGCGACCTGGCCAAAAATGATAGCTCAACAAAGTGGCTTATCATGTGGACATTTATAGCAGCAAAACTATCTAAATGTATATGCCAACGTTGGCATGTGGTTGGATCAACGTCGGCACAACGTTCCAGGTTCACCGGTGACCAGCTGAAGTTTCTCACTCTTGGCAGTCAGGGGTCACCGCATTGCAGCTACTCTCCAACACACCGGTGTGCTGAACTAGTAACTAATTGAAGTTTTCGTGACTGCAGGGATCCGTACTCTTTGGTTTTTTTCGGTAAAGTCACGTAGGTATAAAAGAAATAAAAAAAATTTTAATTAAAATAAATTCAATGTTATACCTACGTGACTTTACCGAAAGAACCAAAGATTATAGTAACTAATTGGCACGTTTTGCTTACGTGACAAACCTTACAGATTGGCTGTGCCGGGTGGTGGTGGGTTGACGACACATGTATATTTACGCGATCTAACTCACACACACACACTGAGCTATTAACTCGTTTTTCAGAAGCGACCTGGCCACAAATGATAGCTCAGGAGAGGGGGCACAAAAATCCTGCCTGGGTGTCAACAAGTAAAAGTGCATGACGTCATCAAGCATGCTTGACATCCACACGAACATGACGCCATCGCCACGATACTCGCTGCGTGACGCAATCGTGAAGGCGCGCGTGACGTCATTGTCGCTGGTGACGAACGGGGGGGGGCGTAGCCGTGCGATGACGTCACACTTTAAATGGCAAAATTTTCCTTTGGAAAAAAACCCACCCAACGCAACTTTTTATGGGTGGGGGATTTAAAAAGAAAATTACTCACAACTATACTTTGTTATTATGTTCGTTGATGTCACTAATTGCCCTTGTGAGTTGTGTTTTACAACTTGCACATTTCCCACCTTTTCAAACCTGTAAACTGTTAAGGGGTGGGCGGGCAGGCTTTGTTACTGTTTTATCGATCAATAAGAAGCGATAAAAGCGGGTGTCGGGACATCCCAACCCACCCACATTTACACAGTAAAACACTGCTAATTAAACTTGTCTCGCTAAGCTCTTACACCATTCGAGCAGTGCGTGGTGTAAGACGGGCGGCACGTGGAGCACTTTGTCACACTTTGTATCCTCTTAGAAGCGTCTCGCTATAGCACGTAGGGTATATGTTTTATGTAGGGTCCTGCTTTGGGAAGTTGGCCCAATTTATTGGCCTCTTTGGGATAGGAAACCGGAATTACCGAAAATAAGCAACTTTTCGCAGGGCTTATAATACATAACACATACTTCCTGTACTCACCACGTACTTACCGCATTCAAATCAACAAGTACTGTACACAGGACACGTGTTGGTGGTGCCAACGCGTATAGTAAGATACATACTCTTAGGTTATTTTTTCTGTAGGTAAATAATAAAAATAGGAAAAAGTAAGATTTATATTATTTTATTATTAACATAATATAAAAAAAATAGTTTTATTTGTTATTATTAAAATAAGAGAAATAATACTAATTCTTATTTCTTAGGTTTTTTCGGTAAAGTCACGTAGGTAAAAATAAATAATAAATATAATAGAAATAATAATAAATCATGTATTATTTAATTTCTATTATTATTCAACATAAAAATTAAAAATCATTTATTATTTTGTTTCTATTATTTCTATTAATAATATATTTCAATAAATAATAAAAGCATTTATTATTTTATTTTTATTATTATTTGTATTACTTATTTTTACCTACGTGACTTTACCGATAAAACCTAAGAGTATGAATCCTTGCAGTCACGAAAGCTTCAAATCTAGTAGTAAGATAAATGTTTGGTGAGACTGTCACGAAGTTAATGAGTTCAGAGTCGAGAGGCGTTTGCTTGACACACGGTATAATTTACCATTGGCAAGTTAAACCATTGTGCTAGTGTGTACTAGATCCACAGCGTTTGACGAATTCGTCTTAGTACATAAGTACAACCATGTTTAATGTTCTAATATACCGTCCTGTACGATACTAAATTTGAACGTGATACAACTTAATTCCTCCCACGTGCTGATTCAGTTTCAACGTTCTCGGTTTAGGTTCAATCAGCCACCACTCCCCTCCCCTTGAAACATTGCGAAAACTATCTTATATTCTAGATTTGAACTATCTTATATTCTAGATTTGAACTATCTTATACACAGCCGCACGTGTAAGAACCCAGACACGTGAAGTGAGCGTAACGAGCTGGTCTTGTTGTGCGGCCACATCGCCACGTGTTGCACGCTTCACTGAAGTGGAAGCCGGTCGATTAAAATAATTAAAGGCAACCGAACAAGTTGCCTTGCATCGTACAATTTGCCACATGAACCATTAACCATTAAAGGAGCGCAGCGTGCGTTATTTGAAACGGGGTGCACGTTTACACAATCAACTGTTCATTTACAATCGGCACAATTATATTCTTGGTTCTTTCGGTAAAGTCACGTAGAAGGGAAATAATAAAATAATACAAATATAAAAAAATAAAAATAAATGAGAATTCTTATTGTTTTATCGAAAGAACCAAGAACATGCATCCCTGCAGTCACGAAAGCTTTAAATAAAAATGTAATCGTCACAATTGTTTATTTTATTTTAAAAACGCGATTTTAAATTAGCCCCGAACCCCTCCCCCCCCCCCCAATTTTTTTGTTTCGTCCACCTTCGAGCCGCCGTAACGAGCGGAAATTGGCGTCGCCATGGAAACGTATCCGACCGTTGACTCGCCAGCCAATCAAAATCAAACCTGGCCGGCCGCAGCGACCAATCAGGGCGCGGCGTCGCATATTTGAATCTGAGCCCGAGCGGTAACGAGAAACGAGGACATCAGTCGCGGCTTGTCCTTGCTTGATGGTGGTCGCAGTAGCAGCACGTCCTCGGCTTATGTTGCGTTGACGAAGTCGACTGTTTGAAAGATCATATTAGTACTCTACTCGTGTTTTACACCGCAGCAGCAGTAGCAGCTTCGCGTTATATTTCTTTTGAGGGACACAAGCGAGCCTCCAAACATGGCTCTTCGTCGTGCTGCCGTGAGTACTCCGGTTCGATCGGAGCCGCTGTGATGTTTTGTGGTGGTGGGGTAATAGCGACGATGTTTAATAATGCTAGTACAGTACTTGGTGGTGTGGGCATTAGTTGTGCTCTGAAAACGGCCCATTGAACGACACCGCCAATGTATTGTTTCTAATTGAGGTTGTTTAACGGATGAGGTTTTTGTTCTGTTCGGTTAGTGGCTATACTGTATTGATAGTAGTGGAGCGATGCGTGGTCCTGGACTGCTTTTATAAGTGACGTGATGTGGGTTTTTATTTAATTGTCTCCGTCGATTTTTAATAAAAGCTTTGTCTTCGCGTCTGCCCTTTATGTAATGGAATTGCTTATGTAGGGTGGGGTATAGAACCTCTATATTATCCACATTTAACCCCTCGACATGGCGAATTTAACCTAGCTTAAATCCTATGGTGTTTGGCGCTAGTTGAAATGTGGTTTTTAAATGTATAATAATATAATGTCTCGTACGTTGCTTTTCATAACTGGCGAAAGCATGGCGTGTCCATAAAGCTTGCGTTTGTCTTTAGTTTCTACTTAAAAATAGGTTTCCTATTGGACGTGCAGCCTTAATGATGGCTTTAAAATTCAAATGATGCCACTTGGGTTTTAAACAATGGGCCACGAGGCCCTCTCACTGGGGTGTGGCGGTGTACTCTGCACGAGGTTTGCTGTACCTATAGTTCTAGATAATTGTGGACTTTTATGATGCTAAACCTGGGGGTGCATATTTTACGTCTTTTATGCGTTTTGTAGTACACGTAGCGATGTGCACGTGAACAGAAGCGTTTGTGCGATGTCGTTCTAATGAACGCACTATCCCGGTAGCCGAGCTGATGTGAGCTTTATGCGTAACAATCGTTTTAGGCTGCGGTACTACCTTGTGGCTAGTGCTGCAATATCTAAACAATTTAACATTCATTGGCGACCCCGAATCGGCAATAGAGCTCACACGTTCCCGCAAACGCATGCAGTGTAGTCCAGTGTGTTTTCAGTTTCTATGGGTTTGTATTGAAAGCCGCGTCCCCCCCTTTCTCCTAAATTGCAGGCTGTTGAAACCTCTGAGAATGCGTTGGCCGGCAGGCTGACGAGGAAGGGCAGCCTACAGCTGAAGCCGACCGCGCGGGCGACACTCGGTGATATCAGCAGCAATACCAACAAGGCGATCGACAAAAAGACGATGCAGGTCTACAACGCCCACATCCGCACGTGCACTCACCCTTCAGCCCATCCATGTGTTCGCGTGGGTGAAATTGAACTGACATTAAAAGTAAGAGTGTTATATGAAATGCTATTGGCGTGCTCTTAAAAACAGACTGGTGTAATTTTGCTTTTTATTTGAAGCATCTGCATCTTTTAAAGAACGCTTTAATGAATACCCCCTCGGTGGATATTGGATTTAGATGTATTTGAATGCAGTCGTATACACGTACAAGTTATTTGAAACATTTCGGGTGCTTATTGTGGTATTAATTTTGCACAGATTAAGGAGCCAGTAGCCAAGCGGGTGCCAAGAGTGGTCCGATCAAAGTCGACCGTGGTGAGGGTGCCGCTCGTTCCTGCTGCTGCGCCTATCGTGCCTGCTGCTCCTGTTGTGCCCGTGGTTACACTTGCCCCTGTGGCAGCTTGCAAGCCTGCAAGAATCCTGCTCGAAAAGGTAGGGTGCCCACTTGATAATGCACAAGTGTAATGATGCTCTGTTTTTTAAACAAATCTACCGAAATGATCTTTGGGCTGTTTTGGTATCCTTAATCTTTACCATGTTTCCTTAGTACTGGTGTAGGATGACCAAATCATTTGGCCTATTAAAATAGCACCGACTCGCACTTTGAAATGGGAATAATGTGTGCAAGTGGAAAAGTAATGACGATGAGCAGTTGCTTTTTCTAATTAAAAATTACAACGTTAATTTGCACCGTTTGTCCATATTTACGCTTTGTTGAGATGCACGATGCATTTTATGACTGACATTGCATGTTGCCAAATAGTTCAACCCATAGGAAGTGTGTAATAGTCTACACCAAGTTTACTTTAACTGCTCTACTGCTATTTTTTTTATTTAGCCTTAACTTTGGCCATCCTTTGAAATGAAATCCCTTTATTTGAAATGGTACTTTGCAGATGCCCTCGCCCATTGCTATGGACATCTCTCAGAAGGAGGAAGACCTCTGCCAAGCCTTCTCTGATGCACTGATAAATATCCAGGACATTGATGCGGAAGATGCGACGAACCCCCAGCTGTGCAGTGAATATGTGAAGGACATATATGTTTACATGAAGACCCTGGAGGTGATGATTTGAGCTGAAGCAGTATATTGCAAACTGAAATTTAAAAAAATGACTTTCAGGACAAGCAGGTGTAATTTTATACTAATGCATCACATTTGTTTCCTTTTTTAGAAAGAACAATTTGTTCAAGCCAACTACCTGGAGGGAAAGAAGATAAATGGCCGCATGCGTTCCATCCTCGTTGACTGGCTTGTACAGGTCCAAATGAAGTTTCGGCTGCTGCAGGAGACTCTGTACCTCACCGTTTCCATCATTGACCGCTACCTGCAGGTTGTGCCTGTTTTTCAGCCTTGTAAAGTACCGTAATTGCAAACTGCACATTATATTGTTTTGTGTCTACATCCTGAAGTTGACTATTTTGTTGTGTACAGCATGGGCTTCAAATGTGGTTATTAAATTTGTAAGTTGTGCTTTTTAATGCTGGAAGGTGGTATGCATACTGAAACGTTAGTACAGTACAGATCTGATAGGAGTGGTGCAGTTGGTTCTAATTTTAATGCTACAAGAAGTTGACAAATGGTGAGATTCTTAATTGTCCCAAGTCTCTTAAATTGCAACTTGTAGGTAGTTCAAGTGAATGCCATAATGCTAGATTTGTATCCCTAGTCATCAAATGGAGTTGACGACTGGCCCATGACTTAACTTTTGAATTGCATAGTTCCTTGGTCTAATTTGGCTGTTAAATCCATGTCTTGCAGAACCACGAGGTGCTGAGTGGAAGCCTGCAGCTGGTGGGTGTGACTGCAATGTTCATTGCAGCCAAGTACGAGGAGATGTACTCCCCAGAGGTGGAGGACTTTGTTTACATCACGGACCATGCATACACAAAGGCTCAAATCCGTGCCATGGAGCAGGCTATACTTTTGGGGCTGAAGTTCAACCTTGGACGCCCCCTCCCACTACACTTCCTTCGTCGGGCATCTAAGGCTGGCAGCGTGAGTTTTTGCACTTTACCCCTTTCATATCCTTTTAACAGGCTGTAATATTTTGCATAATGTTTGGAATTCATTTTGCCTTTAGGTTGATGCAGATAAACACACCTTGGCCAAGTACTTGATGGAGCTCAGCCTGGTTGACTACCACATGGTGCACTTCCATCCATCTCAGATTGCTGCTGCCGCCCTCTACCTCTCCCAGAAGCTCATGGACGATTCCAAATGGGTATGACTTTGTGACGTTGTCATTGCGAAATGTTACGACCCTTGTTCAACAATGATTGACTATTTTGTACTTGTGCCTTTTCAGAATCTGGATTTGCAATACTACACGACCTACACTGAAGAAGAGCTAATGCCTATTGTCCAGCATCTTGCTAAGAATGTAGTGAAGGTCAACGAGGGAGTGACGAAGCAAATGGTACGTGATTGTTAATTGGCACAGTGTGTGCTTGTGTTAATTAAACCTGTTACTTGGCAATGGGTTTATTCATAGTTGCAGCTTTTTGAAAAAAATTAGATGGGTAATTTAATAAACCCCAATTACAGCAATGGTGGGGGGGTCCTTACTGACTGACGCGAATTCTAAATTGTCTTAATGAAAAATGGACAACCCTTTCCCAAATGTAGCTGCGCAAGTGTTTTGGCATTATTAATTTCAATTCTAGCAGTAAAAGGTCCATTGCATAACTAATGCCTTATCAGCAGCCAATCCTAATGTTTGGGTTGGGCAATGGTACCTTAACAGATTAACGGTAAAGTGTTTTTAATGCCTTTGTCTCTTGGTAAAACCCTGACATTATTTTTACCAGGCCACGAGAAACAAGTACGCCAGCACCAAGATGATGAGCATCAGCAAAATTTCTCAGCTCAAGTGCCAGCTGGTGAAGGACCTGGCAAAGCCACATCTTGAGAAGAAGTAAAACAGCTTTATTCCAACGCCAATGTACAGCAAAGACTTGGAGTGGACTGCAAGGTTTCTGCCATTGTGCTGGAAGTTAATAAGCCAGTTGACTTGATGCCCTTGATTTAATTTTGAAAAGTTTTTGTAATTAGACTTTGCAGGATGGCTGCCGAGCCACTAGGTGTACTGTTGAGCACCATGTGCTGGTGTGTGTATATAGCCTGCCATCTTTAGAATGCATTTTTATTTCCACTTTTATATCATCTATTTTACATTCTGTACTTTTACTGATTTTTATTGATTTCACTTGAATAAAATGACGTTTCTTCTTTACGCAATTCTCTGCATTTCAGAAACTGAATTTTAATGGCCAAGTGTGTTCTTAATAGCTTAACTGCCTGTTATCTGACTGGCCACATCAGGCGTTTGGTTCGACTAATTCGTGCCAAGTTGCAGTTGAATGAGCACATTTGACCTTGGAGCCTAATGAGCAGCCTAACACTTCAACCTTGGAAACTTTTGCCCAACACAATAGCTTTAATGCTTTGACCGTTCAGTATTGAACTTTTAATATAAGTCCGGTGCCAGTAACGTTAGCCTGGTCCTAGAAAATGTGGTAATGGTGTGAAAATGTTTAGGATTTGTAAGGGTATGTATGCAAACTGGTTTTAATGCTCGATTACTGCTTGGTTAGCATGCGATTTGTGACATCTTTTATTCTTTTTGGTGATGTGTACATTAAGATAATTTAAAATGGACTGGCCTTCTTAATAAACTTACGACATGCTGTAAACCGAAGTCCCACATTATTATTCGTTTCCGATGAGCCATCTTTGCCAACACTTTTGCTGTACATTTGCTATTGGTGGTTAATGATGTCTACAGGCATGCAGGAAAATGGAATTTTTAGCTAACTGAATTGATGCCTTAACCCACGTTGGCTTGCAGCGTTAAGTCGTGTGAGGGCATGCAAGTGGTGGGTTGACGTTTTTTAATCTGACGGCCTCCCTAATTCAGCAGATAACGCAGTTTGTCCAAAGGACCTTTTCATTTTAACTTGAACTGAATATACTTTCATAAAAAATAGCACGGATGTGTCCTGAATTCATGCCTAATTTAGGTGGATTGGATTTCTCTCCAGTGTCAATATGGTGCAGGTTTTCTATTAGCGTCGCCCTAACCTTGTTCTTAATGGTTCCAATTTACAATAAAACAATTTAAATTGGCTAACTTCGACTTGCTTGAATGAGAACCATGGTGCCTTAATTCTGTCTGAACTTTTTTGACTGTTGCCGTTCAACTTTTACCAAATACTTGCACCATTTTTAGGCTACCGGTTGGCTGACATTTAGAATTAATCTCTAATGGTGGTATATACCTACATTATACTGGTAGGAACGAAGTGGACCAGCCGACAACAGATTATATCGTCCGTCTGTAGCAACATCGCCCCCTACTGCAAACACCTTGACTCTGACGCTTTCCTGGCTAAACAAGTGTAACATTCCCTTATTCCCTGATTTTCATTTAAAAGTTAATTGAAAGCTAACTCGCAGCGCCTCGAACAACGCCTCAACTCTCCCTTCGTATCGTACCCCCGCGTGTGTGAAAGGGAGTGAATGTTTAACAATGTTACATTCCCTGATGTTTTTAAATAGAAACATTTACATTTAAAGCTTTTAAATAAATAATTAAAACATTTTAATAATAAATTAACTCACAGCGGCCTAATGCCTACAGCTAGGCCTCACACTCTCCCTTCGTATCGTCCGATTCGGTGTAGCAACATCGCTTGGCAGGACCCTACAATTAGACTCGGTGGGGCTTTCCTGGCTAAACAAGTGTAATAATACATGTTTATATTCTTTGGTTATTCGTTCCTACCAGCCCACCCCGCTGTTTTAATACGGAAACGTGTCTACCATTTAACTGTGGGCTTCTGCACATCAAATTAGTACAGTTAAGTTTAAAGTTGCAAATATTTGCCTCTATTTGAAAGGCCGTTGGCCCAGCTATCGATTGACGTGGATAGCATTCTGCTGTACGGATTAAACAATTTTGGAGCACCATGTCACTTGCTGACATGAGCGTTAAGATAATGCAATCCTACATTTTCAGTGCTATCCATGTATTGACCACTAACAGGAAAAATGTACAGAATTGACAGACTTTTCAAAACGGGCGTCTGGTATGGTGAATTATAGACTCGCGTAACCAAATGTGGTGTGGCAGTGCTGTCGTTAAAATTGGTAGCGACTTGCCCATCGTGCATTCATTAAGTGATGGTCATTGCATTGTGTACAGGGCACGCTTCGACGGCATCAAACGAAATGCAATTTTTAGGTTTTTACTACATAGCACAGTTAATATTAACCGTGAGGTTTAGTTTCCCCAATTGTCAACGGAACATTTTTACGTAAGCGTAGTCCATAAATGACAAATATACGTAAAAATGACGACTGCTGTATTCTGAGCATGGTTTATTGTAAATATATGCAACAGGTTATTGGATTTAATTTCGGTTCCCTTCAAATTAAGTGAGCTCGTTGAAATAGGTGGTACAGTATGTGCACGCAACATTCGCATGAGAATACAATATGCATGCACACGACAATATGGGCACAAATGAGCAAAACGGATACCAAAAAAGTACACTTTGACCAGGTAAAGCCCACAGCAATATAGCATTTTTTGAGAAACGACCTGGCCACAAATGATCAATCGACGAAGTGGCTTGTGTGCATAGCAGCCAAATAGTCTTAAACGCATGTTGATTCTAAATGTGAAAGGAAAAACAGGAGGACCCAGATGAAAAATCCAAGCCATCACGGGGAGAGGGAAACTCAAACACATGCCATGCTACCAGGCGAGGCATTTAACGACTCTTCAGTGGCGCCCCAAACATGGATTTAAAAAAATATATAATCTTAAACTACATGTTAAAAATAATACACCTATAGTAAAGTACAATTGGCATAAAATGTAATCCAAAAGTGAATATTAAGTTAATTTGTAAACCCATGGGAAATTACTTCACTCGCAAATGTGTGTTTGCGGGTTCTGTATGTTCCCCATAATGTTCGACGTTTCACTCCACGTGCTGGGAGCAACATTTGTTTACTTTCAACAATTCCCAACCAACGCTTCACTTGGCATACTGATTAACACAAAAATAAAAACCCAACCCGTGTCTATTAATGACATACTGTTAGGGGAATACATTCACAGTTCAGGAGACCTGCCTGAGATTAAGGATGTGGACCTGGTTGGTGGAGGGAAGGATTTGAAAGTAATGGTCGGTGGGTATATGTTTCGTGGGAAGTGGTAGTGTCATGGTAAGCGAACACCACTACACAAAATACCAAGTTCGATTCGTGCACACGGCCAACATCGATGACGAATATCTGAACCACTTCTGGGCCTCCCCTAGGTTGACTCATCCTTAAATAAGAACACCGTGCGGTGTGTAATCAGCCATAGAGACAGAGGTGGTGTGGTGCTGGCTACCCATCCCTTCGTGTGTCGTGATTACCTAAAGGTTACTCGCAAATAGCACTTGCCCCAACAATGTTATGGCTATAAGGGGAATCTTTGTATTTTGTGTTTCGTGTATACATACCTGTCAACCCCTTATCACTACCTACCTCATCAAAGACCAATTTAGACCTTATTGGTCACCCGTGCCTTTATACATCTCAATGTTCATCCTACAGTCCTATCACAAGGGAGAAACACAAAACAATAGAACAATTTTACTCTGTTTCCCTGTACAAGAATACGAGTAAACCGTATGGGTTGACAGGTATGTTGAATCGCTGTCGAGCATGTGCAGTGGGGGCCATGAGTGGAAGGGTGGAGGCAACAGGATGGGTAGCAAGGGAGCGAATTGTGGTGGGTGGGAAATCGTGGAGGTGGGTTTGTTGGACCCGTAGCAAGGGAGCGAATTGTGGTGGGTGGGAAATCGTGGAGGTGGGTTTGTTGGACCCGTAGCAAGGGAGCGAATTGTGGTGGGTGGGAAATCGTGGAGGTGGGTTTGTTGGACCCGTGGTTGACAGAACGGGGGGCTGGGTGATGGGGTTGATTTGTGGGTGGGTGGGACACAGAGATGATGGAATAGGACTCTGTGGTTAGTGGGAGAGACTCCAGAATGGATGCTTGGAGGGTGATGAACCAGCATGTTTTGGGTGGGTCCTGGGATGGCTGACAGCTGGGGGCGGTGCGTGGGAACACGAGGCTTTGGAGGTGGAGTGGGATAATCAGAAGTATGGTTTGAGGATTCATATACAGTACATGGTGGGTGGGACCAGGGGTGGGGCCTAGTGTGGGTTTGTAGCTCGAGGGTTCATCTGGTGCGTTGGTGGGTTGGTGAGATCCGGAGGGAACTGGTCCACGGCTTAGTGGGTGGGCGGTGAATGGGTGGGACTTGGTCATGGGTGGGAGGGTACCCCGGTTTCCTTAATGGCAGAGGCTCTTCGTGCTGAAGTGGAAAGGGACCCCGGTTTGGTAGACTAGTGTGATCACATAGTAGGGGCAAGGGGGTTGCGGTGCGACCTGGGTTGGGCCTGTGGGATTCGGAATGGGTGAGTGGGACCTTTGTTGTAGGTTGGAGGGACCCAGTGGTGGCTTTGGTTAAAGTGGGCGGGGTAGGTGAGGGAGGGGCACCGGGGTAGGTGGGCGGAGCCCTGCGAACGGTGGGCGGGGCCTCGTCATTTAACGGATGGGGGAGGAGTCTATCGGGGTCGGTGGGTGGGAGGGGCCACACTCAGCGTCGTTGGGGCAGCGGGGATTGGTGGGATGGATCATGTGACCGGTGGTGGGTGGGGTAAAGGGGCGGGGCCTCGTGGTAAATGGGAGGAGTCTACCGGGGTAGGTGGGCGGTCGTTCCCCCTCCCCCTCAGTCCCGGCGGGCGAACAAGGAGACGCCTCGACCCCTCCGCACACAACCACCGCGCACGCACCGCGCACGCAACAGCGCCTCTCGTTCGCTCGCACGCGAAGAGAGCGGCGTCGTCAATTCTCGCTAGCACGGCCATTGATCGTGGCTAGAGAGTGTGTGTGAGAGAGAGAGAGTTTTCTTCCGACGGTGTTGGTTAAAAACAACAAGGGCCGCGATGATGAGTAGGCTCGTGGCGGTCGTCGTGTCGAAATCGGGAGTTTGATGGATCGTCGTCACAGGCGGCAGTGGCGAGAGGGAGGAGGAGAGACGCTCGCTTCGTGTTGAGTAAAGGAGACGGGAAACGCGAATTCTCTACCCCACCCTCGACAACGACGACGGCGGCAGCGGCGGCTGCGGCGGCGGCGACCAAACCGAGTCGGCGGCTTCGTTCACGGCTGTCGTAACGCGGTCCTTTATCATCTAAACAAACCACAAGAACGACGAGTGCTGAGGCGAGACTTCTCAGAGCTCCATTTGCAAGGAGGGGAGCAGCGCGGCGGTGGGTTCCTGCCTCTCTGGGGCTTCTCACCCCCCCCCCACCACCATCACCACCGCCGGGTTTCTCGGCCTTGTTGTTTGCGGTGTTGCGATCGTGGAATGGCCGCGAGCTTGTGGGTTTTTTTTCAAGCCGTGTGGTGTGTGTGTGTATATGTGTGTGTGTGTGTATATGTGGTGTTTGGGCGAGCCGGGGCGAAGGTTTTTGTTGTGTGGCCGAGGCCCTTTTGTGACTTCGTGACGCCCCAAAGGCCTTCCTCCATTCCGGCCTCCCTCTTCGCCTTCGTCTCGCTACTCAATAGCAGCAGCAGCAGTCCACGTCACGGCGCTTATCGGGTTCGCTCTCTCTTGTTATTCATCGTAACTTGCTTTTCATTCGCACGTTTAGGTAATACACACACACACACAAATACCCAACAACACAACGTTAACGTATGGGGGGGGAATGTGTTAAGTCTCCGAACGAGACATACGTCGCTGTGTGTGTGTTGAATCGCAGATTGTGTGAGTGTAATAATGTTCGTGGTCGGCCTGTGAAGGGATTGTCACAAGACACGAAGAAGGGGGATTTTTGTTGGTGTTATAGTCTCGGCTCGTTTACGTTTTGGGTTTTATTTTCGAAGTGAAACTGTTTTGTTTTATGGGGGTGGTGATCTTTGATGGAGAGGGCTTTCGAAGGCTACTCTGCTTTGCCTGTATTATTGCTTGCGGTGTGTATGACTGGTGTCGCTTTGTATGGTCTCACTGTACACTGTCGTCGTTATAAAGTGGTGGTTGTAGTAATAATAACACGGATGGCTAAGCCCCTTGGGGGTGTTTTAGGGCTTTACGAGTCAGAAATGGTCTCATTTGCCACGGTGATAGTGTGCGCGCTTACAGAGAGTGATATTTTTTGTGTACGTGATGGTTATCCGTGAGATTAAAATGTATATTTTGTGGTGGGATTGGGCAAGTGACTTGTGTGCCCCCCACCCCGTTCATTTTTGGCGTTCAGTTGTCAGATAAAACTAAGGCGTCTGACAATTAAATGTTGAACCATTCTCCAGGCCTGGAGCCATGCCGCAGATGGAAAGGGCCCTCAGATCTACCAGGAGAAAACGGCAAGCGGCTGGAGGCGGTCAGGATGAGGCCACCGACCAAAAGGTTTGCTGCCCCCCCCTCTCCCCTCTTATGAGAATGTATCGCTTTTGATCATCATCATCAATGTCATTACTATTATTAAGGTTTATCCTTGTGTGAAAAAAGCCAGCTTGTGTGCGCAGTGCGACACTGCGGTGTTGGTGATGGGTTCGTATGGACCAGTCATTTTTCAGCCAACACCTTTGGCAGCACAAATATATAACGTATGTGAAGGGATAAAAGCCCATTGAGATAGGAGCACCTTGGATCAAAATCTGGCCAGCGTTAACTTGGACACCGCCGCACTAATAGGCATTTTTGAAGGCAGTGCAGTACAGTATTTGATGGGTTTTGGGGTACAAATATAACTCTTAATGCGCATGAGTCTCATCTATTTAACAGTTAAGAGCCAAAGTGAAACGCATGATAATGATATTTTTTTATGTGTAGCTGCAGTATCGGACGAATACCGTTTAGATTCTCGACCATTATATGCAAGTGATAAATATTGTGTTTTATAATAACAAAGCTGTGAATGATTACCGATTAAATGGTTTTAACTTTTTGTGTACCATGGGCAGCCAGCTTACATACTAGGAATGCATGTGATCACCGACGGCTTGGTTATGTTTATGTATTGATTTCCTGCTAATTAATTTTATTATGGAAAGAAAATGTACAAATATGTGTTTTTGGGTAAAAATATGCTTGGACCACAATGTTATCAGCGCTATGTTTAGAAGGTTTTCCCGCTGAATTTGGGAGTATGATTTGCACTATTTATGCATTTTGTATTGGCATGGGACATGTGCTGTCATCAAGGATCACACTGTAAATGATAGGATGGATCTCAGCTGTTTCCTGGTTACTCGTGTTACGATTATTAACGAATGCATTTGTAAGTACCATCTTCTTGTGCTACGTTAATGAAAAGGTATTGCTTATGTGTATATTTCATATTCCCCTTGAATGTTTTAAGTGAGTAATTTGTGTAGGAATATGTCTGCAGAGGAGCATGCTTATTATTAGATTTCACATGCCTTGGAGTGAACTGTTTATTTCCTGTGCTAATGTGTTTCCTCCCTCTGTGTTTTTAAATGCACAGTAATTTGTATTAATTAGTCTTGGTAATAATTTGCTTCACTAGGCAGTGGATTTCCAATCTCCTACAAATAACCATGCATATAATGTATGGTATATTTTATGTTGTTTAAATTAGCAGATATTTAAATATTATTGGTCATTTTTAAAATGCTCATGTGCGTAATATTGATTTTAAAATGCATTTTATTTTGGGGGCACACTAGTTAATTGCAAATTTCATTTAATTTTTTCAAAATGGAAACCAAGGAGTGCCCGTTCAGCCGTACAATATTGCTGGTTCTAGGACTACCTCATGTCACGTAACATTTTTACCTTTAATTACCATGAGAGCAATGCAATTTCTATTTGGGATATTTGCACATGTAATATTTACCGCTTTGTGATTTGCATAAAGGTCCACAGCATAATCATAGCAATCTCTTTAGCCACCTTAAACATTGATACGTGGAATTTTCATTAATGAACTGCAATCCCGGTGATGCACGTTCATTTCTGCTGGACTGATTAAAATAGCCTTATTTGCGTAGGTGTGTACCTTTTTGCGTGAACTTCACACGTGTTTAATTGTGCAGTGAATTATGGATATAATTTCAGTAGGTTAATGGAGTTTTGTTATAATATATTCCCGCGTCATCATTCCTGTGAGAAAATGAGGTCAGCTTACCATGTCCAAAAATGCAGGTCTACTGTAGATTTATGCTTGTGATCTGTCAATGCCATATGCTAAGGTAACACCAACGCTGGCATCCAAAGCCGGTTGTAAATAGTACACGCTTATGGGCTCCACTGCATTAAAATGTTGCTCACTAAACCAGCCTACGATTATGAATAGCATTTTCGCATGCAGCCTTTTTGAAATGCTACTTACACATGGAACTTGGAGGGTACATTGACAAAAATCGCTATGATTGACAGTCAACACTAAAAGTACTAAGTAGGAAGGTTAAATGGGATCACATTGTATAATTAAATGGTTTGTAACTTTTAAAATTAGTTATTGACCCTGAATATTTAATCACCGTTTTTTCTGGCTGTAGTGTAATCAATAGCATGGGAATGTAAAGAACTTTAAATTGAACATTAAATACACTTCAAAATATGCGCTTTTACATTTTGTGTAATATGACTGTCAAATGGAGACTGAATTGCTTTGCATAAGCAGACTTACATGGCTCTGCAAAACATGCAATAATCCATCAACTGAAAACCTTTTTTGTTCTTCCTCATTCCACTTCCAATGTAGGTATGCATTTCTGTGTAATTATAATGTATGCTACGTTACAATAGTAATTTTCTGGGATTGTACCGATTACAGTATAACCCAGTTTTTGGGGGTGGGCTTCTCAGACATTTCTTTGGAGAGAAAAAAAATGCAGTCTAAAAAATTAGACTCTATCGTTGCGGTACCTTCCTTGGAATTTAACACTCTGGAATGCGCATCGCATTATATTCGGTGTTTACACTCGGTCTGAACCTGTGCAATTTGAAGCTCTGGTGTTGGGTTCAATGAGAAAGTAGATAGTGACTTGGTGTAGGTAAACATCCCATTTGTTTCAGCATTTATTAGCATGGACAATGGTGCAAAGGACACATTTGAATTTGGCAGTGTAATCACACGCACACGTATACGTGTTTACAATGAGGAACAATGGGTGGCTCGGTAATGCCTATTTGAATTTGTAGTCACAAGTGCATATGCACGTACGCGTAATGAGGAAGGGTGGCTCAGTGGGTAGCCCATTGCTGGCCCGATCTCAGCCTCCTACGTACAATTCCTGGCCATGCACAATGGTGACAATGATATAAGATTTGTCTGCAGTTTCACTCGACTGAAGAAGCCCTAAAAACTTGATCTGGTACAGTACAGTACATTGTGTAAACGTGAGATACAAAGGCATCCTGAAAGTGGTACAAATAACAAGAGCAGTTTGTGAGTCCAGGCATCCCTTCCTAAGTGCGAGCACAAAGCACCATGTTTAATATCTCGCGACAAAATTAAACGATATATTTGTTTAATAAATGCGTGTGTATGTACTTATATGTATATGTACGGAGCAATGTTTTTGAGAGTTTGTTCCACAATGCCATCTATGGTTACATCTACCAAAATGGTAACATCTTGACAAATGGGTTGCTGCACACAGTACGACACAGGAGAGTGAATAAAGTGATGCATTTCACTGAACCGTGTTGCAGCTGAAGTGAGGAACTTTGCATCAGCGGCCTAGCCAAACATGCCTTTGCATGCAGCATACGAGGCTGCGCAGCAGTCTATTCAGATTGCGTGCTCTCGTTTAGAACATGTGAGCTGTTTGCACATGGCTTGTAACAGGATAGTTGGGAGAAACTGAATCTAGATGCTAATGGAACCTAACTTCTTTGGATTCTGTAATGCACTGCGACTGAAACGTATTTTTTCGCTCTATTTTATCTCTCATGCAGTTATACATCCCTTTCATATCGTCCATGTTTCAATGTATAACGTTAAGTTATGCATATTGTGTCTTTTTATGTGAAATAGTTTTTTGTGTGTTATAAATTTAGGCCTGTCTTTGCATTTGTTGCCACTTGCCTTCTGGTGCTTGAAATGTGCTATTTTGTGCACTAATTGATATTAGTGCACAAAATATTGGAGTGTTTAGTTTCCCTGGCAACGTACAGTAGTACATAGTACTTGGTTTAGCTAATTGAACGCTTAACTATATTTGTGTTATTTCTAGGAAGAGTGGTATGGACTAAATTGTAGTTTCTTTCAGGTAATTGGACCAGGCACCTTTTAAGCCTAATCTCTATTAATTGGTGCATTATAAATTCACAATGACACTCCGTGCTAGCTTTAGGTTATAAGGTACATCAATGGACATGCTTCCTGTACAGTAAAATCTGGTTTAATTCACTCAATTGTGCCTAATAACCTTTAAGTTAATGTCAACAAAAAATAATTATTTACCCTTCTGAGTTGTGCGTGCACTGCAAGAAGCCTGCAGTGCCCTGCCCTGCCCTCGCAGAAACCCAATCCCCCAGCAGCAGCAGCAGCACCCCAAGGAAGCATTGTGATCCGTTTCCTGGGAAGTAAATGCGGGTCTTGTTGTAGTCGGTTAACGTGTCACAAAATAAATCTGGTAATACTGCACTATTTAAACACTTTTCTAATATAAACTCATTTTATTGCCACGCTTAATTTAGGTCACAATGTCATGATGTAAACCAGATCCCTGGGCACAATTTGTAAAGTTTTTTTCCCCCTTTGCGCAAGTGCCCGGGTGTGTACATACAGAGAACATTATACATTGCCGTAGATTCTTATGCATGGCTTTGACATATGAATCGATCAAGATGAGTCAGAGCTGTGCTTATAGTTTACTTGATGCATCCGGTAAGATATATCTTTATTTTGTATTATCATTCTGTGCACTTTGAGGAGTGTTCTAGGCAGATAATGTCTTTGCTAGTATTAACCAGTGGTGTCAGGGCATGGACTGTACAAAGGAAATGAGTCACTGGCTTTTAAAGCAATACATTTCAACAGGCCTTGGGCCTATGTTGTATTCACATTTGGCTGACTTGTTTAAGGTTATCAAACTTGACCTGTGATTAACGTTGATAAAGCGCTTGGATACTGAAATCGTTTGTCTCTCCGTGTGCCACAATTTCCCACACATGCACCTTTCAAATATCACACAAGTTTTGTGTACATAGCATTTTAAGTTGTCATGCAAAGTACATGCGTTGTATCAACATGTTGACAATGCATTGTTTGCTGCAGTATCGATTTATACTGAACATAAATTGGTGTGTAATGCTGTAATGTACAGTATAGTAAATTTAGACTGTTCAGTAATATAACTTATTTACCCAGAAGTTACTGGCCTTATACATAATTATACAGAATGATATTATTTATATTGGTATTTATGAAT